CAAATAGGGAGAATGGGTCAGAGGGAAATATTTTCAGCTGTGTAAACTCTATGGTTTCTGCCACAACTCCACAACTACAGTGATTTAGTACATAAGCCAGACAAGATAAAAATCAACATGTGTGGCTACATCCCAATGAAACTTGACCTGTAAAAGGCACCAGGCCAGAAGTGGCCCATGGATAGTAGTTTGCAAAACCTGTTTCATAGACACAGGGTTCAGGACATGTTAAATATACATGCAGGCTTGAATAGAGAAATATATATAGATATATATACATACATACACACACACACACACACACACATATATATATATAAATACATACATTGCCCTAACAAATCGTCTATCCCCATAGCCTGGGCAGTTTCATGGGCAGGTGACTACTACAATCACAGGGTTTTATATTCATAAGGGCCCTACACTTGCAGTTTAATGCTCTGTGGTTGACATATTGAAAATCTTAAACATTTTATCTGGGAATATATGTTTTGTAAGTAATATCTGATGCGACATTCAAACATTTGCTGGGAGCTTGGAGCTGGAGCTTTGACTTGCCTGCAGCCTTGCCTCTCCATTGACTCCCTGTAGCTTGTGCCAGTTCTTGGAAACATCTTCTTCATGCAACTTCCTTCTTCCTGCCCCCATCCTCTACCATGGTCGGGTTGCTAGAGGGAATGGGTATGGAGAGGTGTATCTTTGGTTCCCCACCCCATTTCTTCTGCCCCTGGAGGAAGTTTATATGTGAATCTAAGTGTGTACACCTTGAAATCTTAGAACGGGGCATGTAATGACCATCCTTGCCCCAGGCTGATAGGGCCACAGTGCACTCAATGGACAACTCAAAGTCTAGCTTCATGCACAGTCCTGATAAAGGTACCAAGCATTTAATGGTGTAGTCCCTTGGGAGTCACCAGTCTGGAAGCTTGTGGAAGGAGAGATTGAATCTGGGGCCTTCAGTTCCAGTGCACAGGTCCAATGGCTGGCAGGAAGGGTAACTATGAAGAAGCCAGAAGGCCACAAGTACATGCCCACCCCTAGATATCTGTGGGGGTCTATACACACTTATGAGTATCCCTGTGCTGGAGGGAAACTGATAAGGAAAAGATTTTATATTTTAGTACCTTTGCTGTTATTTTTATTAAATGCCATTGAGTCAGTTCCAACTCATAGCAACCATATGTACAACAGAAGGAAACACCACCTGGTGCTGTGCCATCCTCACGATTGGTTTTATGTTCGAGCCCATTGCTGCCACCAATGCGTCAATCCATCTAGTTGAGGGTCTTCCTCTTTTTCACTGCCCCTCTACTTTATCATGCATGATGTCCTTATCTACGAACTGGTTTCTCTTGATAACATGTCCAAAGTGCATGAGACAAAGTCTTGTCATCCCTGCTTCTAAGGAGCATTCTGGCTTTACTTCTTCCAAGACAGAATAGTACCTTTAATCATATATGTGTGTGTGATTAAACTAAACATATATACAATTATATACACAATTAAATGGCTACTGAACACAACTGAACAAGAGACATGCAGAATCATTCTCTACCAAGATGGAGGTTGACAAAGAAAATGCCACTCACGCATCACTCAGTTCAAAGTTAGCTAACCCTGGCAATGACAGGGTAAAGCAGGGTTTTCTGCAGATCCCTAATTCTGGAATGTATTAAGAATGTATTAAGGTTCTCAAGTTAGTATGTACTTCATAGTTTCAGGCTCTAAGGAGCTGTTTTCTGGATATATGCCATAATCAGGAATGCTACATGTAACCCTTTTCTCCCAAGTAGTTCACTATAGGATTCATATTTCTTTAGAATGACTAACAGCCATCTTATAAATGTAGAGCACAATCCAAATATTATGTATGATTCAATAAAACAATAAAAGACAAAGAAAGCTGAATTTTTACTGAGATTTCCCTGTAATTCCTACTGACAAGATAATGCCATAGTATTCTGACATAGGAAAATATATCTGTTTTTCTGGCTTTAGAAACCACCTGTAAAACAAATACTTTGGGAGCAGCCAAGGAAATCGGAATCTGAGCTGGATATGATATGATATTCAAGAATTATGGTTTCATGTTGTTAGGTGTAATACTGATAATGTTTATGTAAAAAACTTGCTTTATAGATACACACTGTAGCACTTATGGGCAAAACAACAATGTCTGAAAACTAATTTTAAAATCTTAGAAAAAGTGTATTAAGTACACAGAGAGGAAGAGGATGATGAAGAAGGCAAAACATGACAAAGGAAAAACAAAGAGGAGAAAGCAGAAAAGAAAATTGAGACATGGGTGGAATAGGATTGGCAAATGATAAGCCTAAGTGATGGAAATGTGGGAGTTCATTGTAAGATTCCTTTGACTTTTCTCTCTCCATAGATATGCCTGTTGTCTACAAAACATTTCTAATAAAAATCAGTGCACAGATTTCTCATTCTCCTCCAAACAAAATGTCTTTTTGCGTGTTTGTGCAATGAGCATCCTCTGGGGCTGAGAGATACAAAGGATAACCCCATCAGTCCTGACACAATCTAAAAAAGAAAAGGAGAAAGTGGGAGGAATAGACTGTCATTGTTGCTCTCCTAACCTTTCCTTCTAATTATGCCAGAGTCATGGCGCAGGTCACAAGGAAAATTATTTTGGTGGTCAACCATTTGCCCTGTTTTGTCTACATCAAAAAAGCTCTTGTTCTCCCCACATTCCAATCTCAGTTTCCCACTTTCTCTAAAAATGGATCAAGCAGTCAGATTAACTAAAATATGGATAAAATGACTATATTGCGAGAGGCACCTTGTTTATAAACCTGGAGATATCTTTCTGTTGTTCGGAATTTCATTATATAATGAAAACTTAAGCATGATTTATACTATTAAGAGGTATTTCAAATAAATGCCGGGCATCCCAGCTTTGAAAAGTTAAATGTAAATTTTTCTGAGTGCAGATGGTGGCTAAGCAATGTAGCACTTTGGTCATACAGACAGAAGGTCAGGTCATGGCTGAAAGACCAAAGAACAATTGCTGCTTTGGTAGTCCAAATCATCCATGGAATGAGACACCACTACTTTCTTTGCTGAAATTGCCTGTTCAATACAAAATAGTGACAAAGCATAACTACAAGATTTCCTCACTTTCCGTGCAAGAGAAATGGTAACAAGAACATCACATCACAAACACCTTTTAACTGTTCCAGGATTTTTATTCCTAATGCTATGACCCAAAAGGGCACATCTCATGTAAAAACATCATTCAAAACCATTAAGAAAACTGGCAACGCTTCACTAATAATTAGAAAAGTTGTACAAAGAAAAACTGCTCTTTTTTAAATCTGCAACTTTAGCGTCCACGTCATTACTGGTTAATTAAAATTAAATCCGTGCTAAAAATGTATTGATAAGACTTTGGTTTTTTTATTGTTTCCTATAGTGTTTTTCTATCCAGAAAATTATAATGTTATTCTAAATAACTCTGAGATTATTCCTTGCTATATTTTTCTAGTTAGTCCAAAATAGTACCCTGTTAGGATGTGGTAGAATAAGACAAAGTCATATAATATTTACACACTAGTGAGTAAGAAAAATTCTATTACATCAGGAAAGAAAAGTTCTCTATTTGACTTGGCAGTCCTAGGCCGTCAGCCCACTAAAAGGATTTTCAATTTCTCTAACACGGACGCCCCCAACTGGATCAAGTAAGTTTCCCTATTTGTACACTGTTAACAATGAAAATATCTTTTGAAAGATAAAACCTTATTAAAACGCTTTAAATACAGAGGTCTGAGCGCAGAACTTTATTTTAGTAGTCTAGATTTTAATTAAATGGCAAGTTGATTATATCAAATGGAAAAGAGGTTGAAAAATATGATATAGTAACCCCTTACCAGGGGAACAAACAACAGAAAAGTGGTGAGGGGCGACAGATGATGTAAAATATGAAAACAATAATCTATAACTTATCAAGGGTCTGTGAGGGAAGGCAGGTGAGGGAGGAGGGGAAGAAATGGGAAGTTGCTATCAGGGGCTCAGGTGAGAAGAGAATGCTTTGAAAATGATGATGATGGCAGCATATATGCAAATGTGCTTGACACACTGGATGAATGTATGGATTATAAGATATGTAAGAGCCCCCAATGAAAGTTTTTTTAAAAAAGAAAAGAAAAATATGATATAGATCTCTGAACCAGAAATATATTTGAAATAAATTTACTTGAGGCTATACATTTGAATAAAATTGTAGCAATTTCTTTAAAATACTGACACTAAGAACCTCATCTTATTACTTTAATGTGAGTAGATCAAATAGTCTGCTTTCATTGAATATAAACCAGTGAGCCGACAAAGTCTGTACTGTCATACAAAAAGAGCAAATCAAAAGTCAGCTTATTAGAATTGCCTCTCTAATAATGTGATCCATATTGTCAATTAAAATTGTACTATCTAAATTATTTCAACAAAGATGTAACAGAAAACATCTGCTCACACTGAAATTAAATAGTCCTCCTCCCCCTAAGATTTATCATTTCACTGTATTCAAGCTTCCTGAATAAAAATATTCATGGTTATCTTAGTTAAAATTGGTTTCACTCTGCCAACGATCAATTTGATTGACATATTTACATATCAACCCATCTCATCTTAGAAATTTAAAACTTTTTCATTTAAAATTGGATTCAAGTTGTCATCTTTCAAGAAGTTTATGTATGTATATTTTAAGTTCAAAATGTGCATTAGGACTTTTTTTCCTTAACTTTGTAAGTAATAGTTATACATATCCAAATGTATATTTATGACTTGTCAAATTGGATTTTTATATCATGCAGTTGTATTCTCACCATTTCATATGAAAGGTGATAATTTTAAGAAACTGTAAATTAAATTCTTTTAATAGTATAAACTGGATGATTACATTTGGTAGATACATTAAAACCACGTTAACTTCAGAAAGAAAGTTATGTAATTAGTTACTCTACTCATATTTTGTCACCTCTTACCTGATCTTTCATTTCAAGATCCCTGTTAGTTTTTGCTCTGTAGTCTCTGTGCTCCTTTTCTGCCTCATCCTTCTCCATTTTTGTTTTATTCAATTGATAGCGCATTTCTCCACACACCTGTTGGATTGAAAAAATAAGATCAGTAGCTGCTGGAATCCACCAGGCAATGCCTGCAATTAGATCTTTTGGTGCCCCCTAGAGGTCATACAAATAAATACAATCATTTTCTAAGAATAGCATTTTTCTATTAATAGAGCCTAAAATATAGACAGTATCAAGGATTATCAAATTTAATAACTTCTACATACAGATAAATAAATGCATAACCGAGGAAGCCAAGTAACATGTTCAAGATTTTTTAATGTAAAATGGGTACTTCAATTTCCTGTCAACATACAAAATATACTATCAAATTTTAACTACAGGAAATAGTTCACTATACTTTTAGCAACATGATTAACTCATTTTATTACAGTGAAATTAAGTTTTGGAAATTTAGTGAAAATGTCACATAACTTATAACGAATGCAATCTATATTACTGAATTATACATGTGGAAATTGTTAAGACAGTATATGTTTATGTTATGTATATTTTCACAGTAAAATATCTTTTTAAATATTATAACATGTCCCTCTTAAGACTTCATCATTTAAATTTTAATGAAATGTATACAAAGATGTTTCTCTTTCTCTGCTAATAGACTATATATTTAATTGATATTTGATATTTAAATGTATAGTACCAAGCATTTACTGTAAACTTTTTAGAAAGATTCAGTTTTATCACAAATGACACTATGTAAGCAAGGTCAGAGGTTCTCTGACAAGAGTAAAACACAGGTACTAATCACACATAACATTTAAGTAAAATCATTTTAATATATCATTACATGATGAACAAATATGGTATCTTAAAAGAGTTGTGTATTATCCTTTATATTTACTTATTTTATAATCCTGGTTCTCTACAAACAGGGAAGTATATTTTGAAAATGCAATTAGCAAATCAATTCAATTTAAATAAAGAGATTGTGTATCTTCTTAGAGAAGTGAAAAACAGTTAATGCACAGGTCTGCTACATCTGCTTCTAGTTTACAAATACAAGGTTTAAAAAAAAATCTTGGCATTCAATAGTTATACTTGCTTAAAACTTTTCAGTTTGGATACTTTGCTAACAATGGCGGTTCAGGGACTTTAAAATTTGGTTTCATCATTATTGAGGCACTAGAATCTTATACTATATTAATGTATCTCCAATGTTCCAATAAAAAATATTTTTAAAAACTATTTTGGATTTTAAAGTTATAGTGACAGTACAAAGGAAAACTCAGTAAGTTTCTCTCCACAAACCTTAGAAAGCTAGGACAAAAATTAAATTAGAACTCTATTTTAAATTCAAATGCCTTTTTAATATGAGAGCTAAAACTGTCCATTTAAAAGTTAGCAACGTACAAAATGATACTATTGTTTAAATTAAATAATATTAACAATTAAAAGAGCGAGAAAATGAAAATGATCTTAATTTACTTTCTTTCTCAATTTTTCACTTATACTTATCAATTTGATTATGTCTATGAATGAAACAAAAAATCCCTAATTGGTGATATTGGAAAATAATGATAATTAAGCATGTCAAAAATGGATTTATTTTATTACACCACAAATGCCCATATATAACTTCTTAGTCTTATTACAATTAACTATTGAAATCTAGATTGACTTCTATTTCTTAAACGTTCATATATGTGCCTTATGATAGCAATTCAGACCTTTAAACGTACACCTTACTTATTTTATCTCTACCACCTACCCTTTAAGTTTTGCAAGGGAATGTAATTCATCTTTCTATTTGCAGCATGCGTCAAAGGGTCTGCTGATACTGTTAATGTTTACTGAATAATGATCATTAGGCTGTTTTTTATTATTCTTTTTAAAAATTCACTTTATTAGGGGCTTGTACAACTCTTATCACAATCCATACATACATCCATTGTGTCAAGCACATTTGTACATTTGTTTCCATCATCATTCTCAAAACTGCTTTTCACTTGAGCCCTTGGTATCAGCTCATTTTCCCCTCCCCCTGCCTCACCTGCATGAAACCTTGATAATTTATAAATTATTATTATTTTGTCATGTCTTACACTGTCCGATGTCTCCCTTCACCCACTTTTCTGTTGTCCATCCCCCAGGGAG